TGCTTGTTCTAAACAAGGGGAACCACAAAAGACCAGTGTAGTTAGGGCTGGACTCTCTACTGTTGATCATTAAGCACTGACACAAATACCAGATTCTTTCTTCTCCTTCCTCTGAGCCATGACTAAGTCCTCAGCTTGAATTTCAAACCACAAGTCCTGCAGCTTCCAGTAAATACTGAATATTTAAACATATGCTATTAAAAAAATGATATGGTAAAGAAATGCTATTTCTTACAATTGGATTGAGAATTATAAAAAAGGCTGTAGGAAAGACAGCTGCTTGTATCTCAAAGGTGTTAGTACAAGTAAGAATCCTGTTTGCAACCAATGTTGACCACAGTCATTGTTTTCAAGTCCTTTGCCACAAACACATAATTCTGTAAATGCAGGAAAATATTCTCTAGTCTTTTATAGTCTCTATTCCTGTATTCCAGCATTTCCAGGAGCCTAATCAAGGGTTGAGGCGAGTTGATAGCTGTGGTCACAACCCAAGCTTATTAACCTGAGCCAAGCATTAATCTACAGGAAGTACCCTCCTCTGATGTTTTTGTTGCTGATATAAGCTGAAAATGAAATAAGCCATGTATAGTAGGTGAAAGGCTTTATTTTTACATTAGTGCTGTTTCCGTTATAGGAGGTTTCAAGAAGAGTTAATGCCTTTACTGTACGTTAGCCAATCCAGCTGAATGTCTAATGTCTACTTCTTCAATAACATATTCTGCTCTCTCCATTACAGATTACATTTATAAATCATATAATCCTATGATTTATATCCAGAATCCTACTTGATATAATTGCTTAGGATTGAAAACATAAGGCTTTTTTTCCTGAATGCACACCCATAGAAACATGCTGAAATTTTGTGTGAGGAGGAATCTAGTGCTGAAGAATAAATTATGAAAAATGTCTTGAGTCTGGAAATGGAAAATAATTAACATGATAAGAAAAAGTTATTTTTCTGAATATCACTTCATAGATGATCAGAACCATGAATGTTTATAAAACTACCTATTTACCAAGCCTAATTTTTCAAACACTATTGATAGAAATAGACAGGTATTGATAGTTCGTTTTGGAATAGTTCCCCATTCAATGCTATGTTTCCCATTTGATGTTTAGATATCTCTAAGCAGCTGATTTGACTATGCCTGTGTAGTTGTTTGAGACAGATTTTTTAGAATTTCTCTTTCCTAGTATAGGCCCCAAGGAGAGGTTGAATTTTCTGATAATAACCATTCAGCTGCTCTCAATATTTTAAAATAACAAAATTATGGCATAGCCAAATTAGTTCCAGAAGGCAATAAATGTGCTGGCTTTTTATCACCCTCACATATTTGCAGAGAAAATTAGTTTTTTAAAAGGAGACTGAAGGGACAAGGCAAATACCAGATCTACAACCCTGGAGCTCAGGGGAACACCCTTTATAGGGATCTGGTTGGAAGAAGTCCATGGAAGATTATCCTGAAAAAAAGAAAAGTCCAGAAGAACTACTGATTCTCCAAGATCATCATCCTTTAAGCTCAAGAACTGTCCATCCTGACAAGTGGAATTTTACCATCTTGGTACAATCCAGACATACAAAGATGGTGATAGGTTAAAGGTTGAATTTAATAATCTTGGAGGTCTTTTCCAATCTTTATGATTCTAGGATTCTGTGAAACATAAAAGAGGTGGAAGCAGAGTCAGGAGTTGGATAAGGAATGTAGAGAGTGTCTGAGAATGCAGGGATGGAGTTGGGAAAGTAGAAGCCCACCAGCACCTAAGCCTAGAAAGGGATTTCAAGGGCATTAAGGAGGCTTCTGTAAGTGTATCAGTAGCCAAAAGAAGACTAAGGAAAATATGGGTCTTCTCCTGAATGGGACATAGAAAAGGCTGAGTTACCCAAGGCTTCCCTCCATCACTTTTGTCTTTACTGGAAAAATCTGCATACAGTAAACCAAGGTGTCTGCAACCAGAGAGGAAACTTGCAGCTATCAACATTTATCTTCAGCAGAGAGATGTAAGGATAGGGGAGCATTTAAACAAAATGGACATACAGAAGTCAAAAAAACCTGATGGAATACACATAGAAGTCCTGAGGGAGGGGCAATGAGAATATGAAACTTTTCTCAATTATCTTTGGAAGTTCATGTTGACTGGGGAGAGTTCCTGAAAACTGCAAGAAAGCAAATGGTAACACTTGTCCTCAAGAAGAATTCAGAGAACTATAGGTCAGTCAGCCTTATTTCAATCCTTGAGAAGAGAAGGTGATGGAGAAGAAAATGTGGAAGCCATTTGCAAACATCTCAAGGACAGGAAGATGATTGGAAGTGTGGATTTACAAAAGGGATATCATGCTTAATAACCTAATTTGCAGATGGCAGTGAAGTGGAAGGAGTGGTTGATATACCAGTTGTTTGTACTGCCCTTCAGAAGAACCTCAACAGGCTGGAGAAGTGAGTCAGCAGGAATTTCATAAATTTTGAGAAAGGGAAATGCAAATCCTATGTGCCAGTGCATAGGATTATTCCAACCAACCAGGAAGGCAGTGTTCTAGCAAAGGATCTTGGAGTACCGTGGGATGCAAAGTTCAACATGAGTCCACTGTGTGTGCCATTGCAGAAAAGAAAGTCAGTCACCTGTTGGGCTGCACTAAGAAGAGTGCTGCCAACAGGCCAAGGGAATTGATTCTTCCTCTGTACTCAGCACTGATAAAACAGATCTGGAGTTCAGTCCTGGGCTCCCTGAGACATGAGAATCTTGGATATACCAAAGAAAGTCCAGCTAAAAGCCACAATGATGATTAAGGCCTTGGAGCATTCAATATACCGAGAGAGGCTGAGAGAGATGGAGAAGAGAAAGCTCAAGACAGATGTAAACATTTGATTGGAGGGGGTGAAGAACACACTGCAGGGTCTTCTCAATATCAAGGAACAGGGAAGAAGCACAAATTGAAATACAGGAAATTCCATTTCAACATTAAGAAAAAACCTTTTTTACTTGGAGGGTAGTAAAAGCTGGAACAGGTTGCTTCTTGAGATTGTGGAGTTTCCTTTCTTGGAGATACTCAAACCCTAACTGGGCATAGTCGTGAGCATACTGCTCTAGTTGATTCTACTGTGCCTGTGCTTGGAGGAAACAAACTCCAAATATGCTATTCAGCCACAGCAGTTCTGTGAAACCTTTGGTTTGGGCCATGGTCATTCAAATGCATCCATGTTGACTCCCAGGATTATATTATGCTTATTTCAGGTAATTTTCACAAACGTCTGTGAAGCCTTTCTCCATCTCTGAAGGAAATAAATAGTAGCCCAAATTATTAAGGTGTCTTTTCACCTCAGTCTCAGCTCAACAAAAGAGCTGAAAAAGGAAAAGCAATTATTTGAGAGGGTTTATGCTTTTGGTGCAACAGGAAATGACAGGGGAAAACTGAGGAAAAGATGTTGAACAATCACACAGGACCCAAATCTTGTAAGTGGAAGAGAACTCCTAAATGTGTGAGAAATAGAAGGAATGAGAAGGTTTTGCAGAAGGGGATTCAGGAAGTGACAATGGTGTTCCAAATGTGCTGGACTGAAAAAGCTGGTGACAAAAGGAAAGACTGATTTACTTACAAAGGTCTTTCTTTCTGTAAATCATCAGCCAAACATTGTGTTGAAATCTGATAACCATATTTCATAAAGGATTAAGACAGGTAGCAAAAGTAGGGTGATAATAATATAGAAAAAGGATATAACAGTCATAACTCCTAGCCCTCTGAATTCCATTGACCATATTAGCACTTAAAAATCTAATGCTTCTCAGAGAATATTGAAGCACTTTCAAAGAAGATCCATATCAGTGACGTTCCCCCCCTCACACAGCCCCCTGAATTATTAGGCTAGCCCAGAGATCCGAGGCTTTGAGGGGAGGAATATCAAGAAATGGCAAAGATTTCCAAAAGAGGCTCTTACCCCGAGATATGTTGGTTCAGCTCTCTTTATTCTGTGATGTCCTTGTGGAGAGTAGGGCAAAAGAGAACGAACAGGAAATGTCAGGGGTCTATATAGACTTTGGACAGGGTGGGCTTCCCTGGCTCTCTGCCAACCCCGCTGGGGCAGGAAGGAGGGGTCCAGGGTTATCTTGATCAGAGTCACAGGGTCCCGGAGAAGGGGGCACAGAGTGCCCATGAGCTCACTGTAACATATCACTACCCCAGATTTACATGGGAAGGGATATACAAGATGAGTTGCATGTAGTGTCACCCAAAAAATCAATTGCACATTTTGTCTGCACATCTTTGGATTTATTGAAATGCTTAATGACATCTATATGAATATTTTACTGGGTGGCCAGTTAAACAATGGTTATTGTACATTCCTCTCACATTGATACAACTTAGTAAACAAGCAAGGTGAGTAGGATTTCTGAGCTCTACTGCACTAGGAAATCAATCACGTTCTAAGTGTAGCTTGGTCTAAGTGACTGCCTTGGCAGAGGAGTTGGACTAACTGATCTCCAGAGGGCCCTTCCAACCCAAACTATTCTGTGATTCTGTATAAGTGAAGTTCAAAGATGGTTGTTCCTTCTATTGTTTGGTGGGAAGGCACAGGCATTTCTTTGATGTTGTCAGGAAGCTCTCCCAACCTGGTGTCAACATAGGCCTGTAAATGTTTTCAATATACCCATGCTGGCTGTTGAGCTTGGTCAGCAGAGGTGAGGGTTTAAAACATAGACACCCTATAATATTCGCCCATGCTTTTAACTCACCAATTTCATAGAGAAAAATGAGAAACAACTGTATGTATCTTTCTGCATACCTAACCCTGCTTCCCCATTTTCAACATGTGGCCTTTGTATTGCAGCTTTATGCTGTATTTATCTCATGGACACATACAGGTCTCAATTCCTGCACTCTTCACCAAAAGAAACCATCTGACTTATGAAATCAGTGCTCTGGAGTTTTTTTGTCTGCTTATCTTTCATAATGTTTTTAAAAATAAACATGGGTTTTAATAATTTCTTTTTTTCTATCATTTCAGAGAAAGAATGATCTATACAGTCTTTCTTCCAGTGTTTCCTTTGAAGTTAAGAGCATGCCATATAAAGTGCAACCAGCAAAGCTCCCTGAGGGAAGCATAGCAGTAAGTAACTGAAAATTATATCTTTGTGTGAAGCATATGTATTTGGTCACTCTGATAACAGCTGTGAAAGTTCTTATAGATGAAAATATTGAGATTGTTCTTTCCTGTATTTCTAGTGTAAATTCCTGAAGTAATACCTAAAGGAAATAACTTCATTGCTTCCTGTGGAAGTTGATGATACATGAGTCTTATTACATTTTAAAATAATTTCTTGCTGAACTGATGTGCAGACTGCTTTATTGCAATTCGGGTGGATTTTTCACCCAAAAGAAAACAGAACTGTGAAAGCAAGTAAAGAAAGTTTTGGGGTAAAAAAAATCCAGAGGAAATTTTATGCAAAATCCAGAATCATGTTTTTGTCAGGTTTAGAGAGCTCACTCTTCTCCCAATCAGCAGTTCTCTCACACAAGCTTGTGCATTGTCTACAGCAGCTTCTCTCTATCTGTATTAAGCTTTTTTAATACCCTGATTTTCAGGAAGGTCTGTATGCCTTTCTAGGGTTGCCACCTCACAGCACATCAAGTGCAAAAATACAAATTTACTTGGTAATCTCTACAGAAGTGATAGATAGATAGATAGATAGATAGATAGATAGATAGATAGATAGATAGATAGATGCTAAAGTCTAGTTGCCTTATTTGCAGACTGAGATTTATATGGCTCTGGACTACTATATGAAAAATTAATTTTGGAGGCATAAATTTGATTTAATTGTTTGCTGGTGCCAAAGGACTGAGTTTGGAGAGCACTTAAAAGTAATTTGTTTCTTATGGTGTCTAATACCATGTTTAAAATTGCCTCTATTTTTTCATTACTGAAAAAGATAAGGAAAATATGAGGGCAAAAATTGATTCTAATATAAGAGTAATCTGAAATTTTAAGGCTTAATGTTCTCACCTTTATAAAGATTCATCAGTTAAAGTCCTTCTTTTAAAAGGTAAGCTCAGTTCAAACTTTTCCAAGTTGAATTGTGGTGGAAATATATTATATCAATCTGTTGAGATGTAGGAGTATGGACAGAATACTTTCTTACTTAGAAAACCAACAGCATAATACACATTAGAGCTTACTTTAAGTATATTTTAGAGAATACAGGTTATAAAGTTTTATTTTACATACACAGATTGGATGGTTGATTGATACTTGCTCTGGGAAGGTAAAATCTTTGTTCTGTGTGCACAGTGATTCTAGCCTCCATCATCAGTAGAACCATGATTTCACTAGAGAGGATTGGTGCTTAATGCAGTATTCATCCAGAAAGGTTCAAAGGCACCAAGCTGACAGATATACTTGGGCTCTTTTTATTTTCTTGCAGCATGTGTTCCATACCAGAAACACATGTGCAGAATTCTGTTGATAGTGGGGCCTTCATCTGGACTGGAGTGCTTTACCCCAGGTGATAGCCTGCTGTTCTCAACAAGTGTCAGATGATCTACCAAATGATCAGATAAGCATTTCATTCTTTTACTCCAGCCAGCATAAAGCTTGTTATTTGCAGCAGATGATTTACAGCGAAATGCCTGTAATGGCAACTGTAAAATGTTGAAAAATGATAACATTTTTATGTTGTTTCATATCTGGACATGGCAGTGGATGCTTGCCAGCTCTACAGCTTGATGTGTTATATGCACCAGTTCTTTGATGTTCCACTTGCAAGAAGAAATATTTCCTTGAAGTTGGGCAAAGCTTAATATTTTTGCTCCTTCTGAAAAAGATCAATAGTTGTGTTTTAAAAGCTTCCAAAGATTTTTCTTTTAAGGTTTATGATTTTCCTTCAGACAATGAAAGAGTGGAAGTGGAAAAAAGATTTAAATATTTTAAAAATCAATTTTCAAAGTATATAACTAGTAATCAGCTAGCACTTTAAAGTTTGTATAAAGAAGATAATATATTTTAAAGAATAGAATGTATGTCCTTCATTTAATTCTTATAAGCTGGATTCCAGTTAGGCAGGCTGATATTTACTTTAAGTTTTAGTGTCATGAATAATCCCATACACATCAGTAACCTACAGAGCCACGTTGTCCTATTTGTAGCTCTAAGGACTTTATAATCATGCAGTATAGGTCTTGAACACATAGATCTTGAAGACAGGGTCATGATACAAAGGTGTGTGAAACATTAGGTAAATGTAAGAAAATCTGGATATTTTATAGTAAAACATTAGAATGAAAATGCATCAAACAGAAAATTAGCATGGAGCTTAAATCAGAATCCACTTTCATCTATAATAGTATTTCCATTAATTTTGATAGTCTTAGAATTGCAACCATATATTATACAACTGGTTTAATTTCCTTGCTAACAGCTATTTCATTCAAGAGAAAATTTTCTTCTTTTTTGCTACAAGTATTATTGTGATAAATAATACTGTCTTACTTGGTGAATTTCATGTGCAACATGAAAGTACTTTTTATTGCAAAAAGTACAAAGTTAGGATAAGCAGAAATTTGCTTTATTTTAATTTATTATTCTTGTGCCAGTTTGGGAGTTTAATAAAATATGGTTGCTTTTCTTAAACTTTTGATAGGATTTTTTTGCTGTGGATGCCTTTAATCTAAACTGTTTGACTAGTGCCCTTCAGTGAGTAACATTGATTTCAGACTAAGACCCATAACTTTTTTTAGTTATTGCATGATGATAGTACTTTAAACAAGCTCATGAAATATATTTGCATTAACCTTTGTACAATGTGTAAGCATAAATGTGACTTCAACTCGATGGAGCTTCTACATTCTATTTTGAGCATTTTTTGAGAAGTTATAAGGATGTTATGCTGTAATGGTTGGATGGGGACATGGAGAAGTACAAAAGAATTCCTCTTTCTTAGCCTCTGTAAAGAAAATTTCTGAAGACTAAAGGAAGGTCATCATGGACAGCAAAAGCAGTAGCACTAGAATAATAATTAATTTAGTTGCTGTTTCTTAAAGTAGCAGAATAAATTATTGATAAGTTTTTTTTGGTTTTTTTTTTTCTTTATTGTGTCTTTTAAAGAACCAGGGAGAAAAAAGTAACTTTATGTGAATCCCACTGGGATGCACTGAATTCTGACCACAGATGCTGGAAGTTTGCACCAGTCAAACCTAACTCCCATCTATGCACAAGGAAGTGCCACTGAAGTAGCAGATTACTTCTTGTGCTTCTCTCTGCTTTGTGCTCCCTTGCACAGGAGTCAAATACTATTTTGAAGACACCAAAATCAGAAGCAAAATCCAAATTGGATGAAATACAATAGCAAAAACCCTAATAATTATTTAATATACATACAGTGAGCTTAACTATGGCACATTTTTAAAAAGGCACAAATTAAAAGCCTCCCCAGAAGAACACTTTAATAAGCAACAAATTACTTTAATGGAACCACAAGAGGAGTTATGAAGTTAAGGCTGTCTGACAGCATCTGTGCTAAGACCATTGTGGATTTTATTTCCAATAGCAAACAAAGGCTCTGTCCATAACTCATAGGTCAACCTCATCTCAGTTCCTGAGGCAGATGACATTCTCTGGCCATCTTTGGATACCAAAGGTGTGAGATGTTCACCCTCACCTCAGTGTCAGAAGTCAGGTGGCTCCTCTCAAATCTTTTGAGATGTGCTTTTCACCCACCTGACAGAGAAGCAAGCATTGTTTTCAGTGTTCAGCATAAAGTCTTGTCCTGAACAGAGGGGAAAGCTAACACATATCTAAAGTACAGTGTCAACATGCAACACTTGTGTAAAAAATCCACTTCATATTGGCCACCTTAGACGGAAACATTCCCTGGCTCTGATCCTGCAGTACTAGACAGAAATCCAAGCTGAAAATACAAACTTGTTTTAAATCAAAAACTATTGTGGACAGCATGGGGTGAAGTTGACAGTCCTCTGTAAAAGTGGTGAAACAGGGCAGAAAAAACTGAAGGAATGTTTTGTTTCTGTGATCCCCTCCAGCTCCTGCCTCAACTCTGTGGGTGTTCAGGACTTGCAGTCTCAAATTGTTTACAAAGAACTGCAGTAGCAGCCTTGCAAGGCTTTCTGTAGAGTATAAAGGGGGGCAGCCCAGGGGCATTATATCCTACTGATAATGCACACAGGCAGGAGTGAGACTGATGCCTACATATGATCCCCTGCTCAGGAAATAAATTTCAAGTACTTAGCACAACCATCCCCTTGCTTTTAAAACCAAAGACAAAGAAGAATTTATGGGAAAAGGGTGTGGGTTTGACAGGATGGTTTCAAGATTTTAGCAGGCAAATATTTCATTAGCATTGGCTGCACTCAGGCAAAAAGGGAAGGGTAGTGTGCCAACTTTGCACCAGTGTCTTCTTGATACAGGGTAGACCTAATTTCTGCTGTCTGTTTTGCTCATTGCTGATAATCTAAGGATTATGAACATGATACCCTGCTTTTCTATAAGATTACAGCTTCTTGTTTATGTTTCAACATTTGTCAAGCTCCAGCTGAGCTACTGAAATCAAACTACAAGTTTTACTTGATGGCCTGTAATGAATGACAGAAGGAGGCAGGGAGAAACTATTCTGAACACAGGCAGCACAAGGGAGGCTCATAATTGGTTAGCATCTTCAGAAAGATCCACATGTCCTTGTTTAGATCCATGCTGATAGGTGCTCTGTGGATATCAGAATAAGAACTACCTTGTGTTACTGTTTTCATAGCCTAAGAGGAAAGAAAACACAGCACACAAATACAGCAAATATCTAGAAGTGGCACATAAAAGAAGGCGTGGAAAGACAACGTGTACTTGTAGTTGCATACACTGCTGTCAAAACCTAATGAAATCTACCATCCCTAATGAAATAGTCTGCACTCATTTTAGGAGGATCTCAAACATGCTTTGAGGTCTGGATTGACCCTACCTAATTTTGTACAGTGAATTGGCACACATTAAGGGTCTAGTTGTTGCTCTGCTCCTGTGCAATCATATGCTGCCCTATGGGCTATCAGACCTAAACAGCACACAGCAGCTTACTTCACCCCTGTCTCAGCACCTGTGGTGTTGAAGTAGTTACCTTAGATTGGGTTAAACTGGACTTGGTGCCCAAGGAACCAAATGTGGTTCAATCAAATACTATCTGAAGAAATTTGTAAACCAAAATTTCTTCCTACTCCAAGAATTCCTTGCCCACTCAGACAATTTCCATATCCAGGATGTAAAATTTCAGTAGACTGTTGTCATGGTTTAGGAATGGTACTCTCCAGTTTAGTTCTCCCACTGTGACTCTCTAAACCATGCACCACTTGCATGCTTTCCCCTCCCTCTCACCTGCAACAGGATGGAAATAAGAATTGAAGGTACACAACATGAAGATCACAAGTTGAGACAAGAACAATTAATAGGAAACAGCAATAAGATAAGAAAATTAACAGTAACAGCAACAATACTAATGCCAGAGGCTACCAGAAAGGAAAGACGGGCAGGGAAGCTCCCTAATAGAAAATACCCAACACTCCCTCTGCCCGCCTTACTCAACTGGGAGGAACTTTGGAAGAGACTCCCTTTTGCAGCCTCAGATAATACTGTGAGCTGTTATAGAGTAACCTCCAGGTCCTGGCCATGCCCCCTTCAGGCCGCTCCCAAAATTAACCCTTTCCTGGCCAGACCCAGGATGTCCATCTATCAAGCCATCCGTACCTAGCCAGCAGCTTGTCAGAGTCTTTTTGTTCTGCTTTATTGATGCCCTACAATCCACTCTAAAGGAGAAATGTTGGATTCAATTTCCTCTTGTATTTATCTCAGTCACGTTATGCCAGCTAGGAATTTGGCTGAAGCTATCAGTAGCAGAAATGGCAAAATAAAGTCTTTGCATGTAAAGGATTCTTCACTGTAGTTTGGTCTTGCTATAACATGGAGTCAGTCATTTAATTAAACTTGAGACAACAGAAAGCACTGCTTGCTTTTTATTATTTCTGCTGTTTTACAAATATTTTTAAGATAGTTTTGGTAAGTAGTCTTTCACATTAGTGCTCCAGATTAATAGCAACATGCTCAGGTAAGTGATAGTGTTACAAATAGAAACCATAGTGAAGCTCAAATCTTAGATGATTAAGATATGCAGTCTGTATGTTGACAGTGTCAGGTCCTTTCTAAACAATAATTAAAATTTGTAATTTCATGTGCGTAGTATCTCAGAGTCTGCCAGCAGAGGAAGTGCACATTGTGAATGAGTTGGGGTTTTTTGAATCTGTCCATTTTTGCTGTCTTGGGGCCCATGAATTTTCATCAGCACTTCCCAACTCTTGTGCTTAATGTGATCAGGCTTGCTTCAGGGCAGCATTCATGATTTTCTAGCAGTAGAATGGAGATACTTTCTTCCTTGGACAGCTGTGCCCATTGTTTTCTACAGGCTTCAAGTAGCCCCATTTCTGTTTTCCCTGGAAAGTTAACCTTTTACTTGAATACATCTTTTTCCTTAATTGTCTTTTCTTGGGAAGAATCTCTGCAGACAGTTCAGAATGACCCTTCTCTCATTTTCTCTGCCCTTGCATTTTAATGCCACTCTGAAACACAGGCAGAGCCATTGAAGAACATTTTATCCTTACTAAATAAGCTCTGCTCTAGCTGAATCTAATGATGCAGAGAGCCTATGGAATTTTGCAGTGGTTAAGAAGCAACCCAAAGAGGAGGCTGGAAAAGGAATGGTCTTCCTGTGCTGGCAAAAGCATGGTTGATCTCTTGATCAGACCATCAGGATATCTGTGGGGACATAAGTGTGACATTTCATGGGTTGTTTTATCAATACTGTTTTCCTTAAAGTCATTCTTTCTTGCTTTAATTTTCTCTCAAACTTATTGTTTTTAGATGCTATCTTTTTGAAATATTGTAGACTTATGACTATTTAAAGCTGCTCCAAAGATGTATATAATCTGTGTTTGCTAGATCAACAATGGTATGGCCAGCACTGCAGGTACTTCATCTTCAGAGCCAGTGTCGAAGGGCAAACACCAGGACTGGGCAGTGTCTTGGAATTTTCTGTGTAACCCTCAGTGTAAGCTTTGGCAGAAAGCAAGTGGTGCCCTACACAGAAAGTTTGTCCCTACATTTTGTTTCCTGGAGAGGGATACTATAAAAAATATGTGCATTAGTAGAGTTCACCAGACTGCCATCTCTGTAAGAGCTGTGTCAGAGTAGGAAGCAGTTGGCTGCACAGATAAAATAAGTGAAAATTACTATGCAGATGTGTCTTCCAGTTAAGCCTGACAGTAGCTGGGAAACAGATCTACTGGTGCTTTCAAAAGGAAAAGTTTATGAAAGAATGCGGATCACAAAAAAAAGTGAGAGAAGAGAGGACTGGACGTTGCAGAAAGGATTAAATTATTAAATTTGCCATCTTCAAGGAGAGAAATGAGAGGCATGGGAATTGAAACCATTTTGAGCTGAACTACAGAGTTGTGCCCATTCTTAAAAGTTAGGTGCTGCTCCTTCAACGAACAAATTAGAAATTACTATTTTGTTAAATTTCTAGTGCATCAATCACTAAGGTAATAGAGGGAAAAAAAAAAAAAACATAGAAAGAAAATTTACAATGAGTACAGCTTGGGGACTGAACCATAGCCAAGAAACTTATTAAAAAGAGTAGATTACATAGCTGTACCTTGAGTAGAGAAGAGGAATATCATTTGAGAGTTTGTGTCTTCAGTTTCTTTGCAAACTGATTTCATCATGTCATAAAGCAAATAACTTCCATTTGTCCCACACTTGTCCTAAGGGAGACTAGGAGTAGACAAGAGAGGTCGAAGAGAAAACACAGAGAGAAATCACTTCCTAGGCTAACAACAAAGGGAAAAGTTAGAGAAAATAATCTAAGACTGAAGGATTATAATTGTGCCAGAAGAGCTAAGGAAAGCCCAAACTCATTCCTTCCCACTTGATAGTAGCAGGGACTGAGCAAATATTCAGTAAGACTGATGAGGAGACTTCCAGGCAGAGCCTGAGAGCATACAATAAATTTTGTACAAGGTATGGAAAGGAGAGTATGGAGGAGAGTATGGATGTCCCCAGAAGGAGAAATACAAAAGGGTTATTACTACTCTTTGTCCACATGAAGGTCAAAAGAGAGAAGTTTGCCAGGTCAGTTAAAACTTCTGATAACTGATGTAAACCTCTGCTGCTTTGTAGAGCCTCAGACAATGAGAGAGTGCGTTTCACACTTGTTTCCCCTTTAGGTAATAGTCTGTATGCTTGCCTTCTTTTAAAGAAGATAACATCATACTGTGTGTTAGGTTTTATCACAAGGACAATACACACTGCTTGAGTTTCATTTTTGGACTGCTTAGCTGAAATGCAAATCATCAGAAAAAATGTATACTGGTATGTCAGCAGAAATTAAAATAAGAAAAATGTTGCTGGTATCTACTGTGGTTTGAATTAAGAGTTTGGCCAAACTCAACCATTGTTTGGGAGTAATTCAGTGCAGTTCAGTGGCCTAAGCTGTACCAGTATGTGAGCAGAACTTTGCTCGTTGAATATTCCTGGAGTATCTGCACAGAAGGGGATTTTTTTGCCACTCTGTATTATGGGAAAATTATTTATATGTCTGATATGACAAGACTTTTATGTATGTGTGAATTCCATTTCTAGTAATTATCATGAACAAGTGGAAAGGAAATTACAATAAATCCAGTCAACATGGGAAAATTTCAGTCAATGTGTATTTCTAATCTGCAAAATGCTGTTGAAATCAATGCTTCTAACCTCTGTATTCGACTGTCAGACCTGCTCTCTTGCTTCATTTTTGTTCATTAAATGTATTCCTTTCATTGCAGATCAGAACATCTGTCATTTGGTCCACCCCAAATGTCTCCTTTGAGATCCCTTTATGGGTTATAATACTAGCCATACTTCTTGGACTACTAGTACTAGCTCTGCTGACCCTAGCTTTATGGAAGGTATGTTCCATTATTCCTGTTACTGTTGCCTAAAAAAAAAAAACAAACTGAAAATACTGAAAGATTCTAACAGATAAAAAGAGAGGCTAGAATTTTGTGATCTTTAGCAGTTTGGAGCAAAGCAACAGGACACGTGTCTTTTTTGTTTTAGCGTTTCTGACATGCTAATGTCATTGACCTTTATGCAGGGAACTTGTTTTTAAAGTCCTCCTTTATTATTGAATCCTGGTCACAAATGGGCATACAGAGTTTGGCTCCATTTCCCAAGACCTATGATCCTCTATTTCAGGATGTTTAGGTTCAAAAAGAAGTTACTCTAACTTTGTTTTCTCTGAATAATCCAGGAATTTCCAGTTTTTGTCAGCATGGAACAACATTCCCTGTTCTGAGAATTAATTTTTAGAAGATTTCCTTTTATATTAATATATCATATATTTTGTTTTTAAAACTTTTCTATTTTTGTGTTGGTTGCTACACTCCTTTCAAAAGTTTTAAAACAAATTACTGAAACTACTGGATTACAGTGAGCCAGTGTAACTTTTATCTATGCTCTCAGTTCACATTAAAAATAATGTGAAATAATTTCTTACATAAGGATATGGTTCATCTGTCTTTAGCTGCCTAAAGGTTATGGTAACTTCCCTGCTTCACCTGGTCAGGTATCAGCAGCAAAAAGTTATGTCTAAGCATTCAAGGAGGAGAGAAATCACCTTTTGGTGGTACCTTCCTTTAATCATTTTTGAACTTTCAACCTTTCAACTAAAAGAGTGAATTTTAGGCAGTTTAAGTAAGGTGGGAAGAATCTCATCTTTAGTGATCTTTAGACCAGGTCACAACACTATCCTGTGGACATTTCCCAACACATACTACACTTCTCTTAAGATTACTGCTTGTCAGTCTAAACCTCTTTTCTGAATGAGCGCATTGCTGAACTGAGAGGAGCAGATTTCTCATTAGCATCAGCCCATACCAGCGTTCAGGCCAACTTTACATCTCATGCAAAGACATCTTTCATATAATTTGGGTTTTTAAAGCTGTGCTTTGGAACTCAATGCTTTGCTTCTAAAACTTTCGTAGGGAATTATTTAGGTAGAAATAAAATGTCTTCACAGTCTCTCAGCCTGCCATGCATTGTGCCCAACATTTCAGGTTTCCTGAATGAACAATCAAACTGCAGCTGAGTCTTCCTGTGGTTGTTTTACCATGACATCTTTGTTTCTGTTGATTTTTTCTGCAGTGTGGCTTCTTTGACAGAGCTAGACCTCCTCAAGATGACATGGCTGACAGGCAACAGCTGACAAATAACAAGACTACTGATGCATAAAGGAAGAGAGTGACAGTTCAAGTAAGAATCCTGCCTGAGAGACTAGAAACACAATGAGGATTAAATGAAAGATTCTTTCCAACCAGTCTTCCTTCGTACCTGCGAGTGACATAGTGTCAATCTGATCTATGCAATGTTCTAAGAACATGCCACATGATGGCCATCCTTGCCAAAGAAAGTAACTTATCGCTGCCTTATAAACGTATTTTCCACTGAACAGAATGTTTATCCCAGATTCCAGTCAGTCTACGTTTCAGCAGATGCTTCTGAGCATGTGTGGTATACTGAGATGCTTCCAGAACAAGGTCAAATCTCTCAAGGAGAGAATGCCTTCATTGCTGTATTGTCTAGAAGATGAAGCAGGACAAACCTTCTGAATGCTACTGTATCACGCAGAGTACCTTTGAAACCTCCCTAAGAACTTCTATAAATTATGGCTCAGGGAGACAGGCAATATATCAGTACTGTGAAAGTACTTCTGAAACACAAAGGTAGTCTATAAATAACTTTATAGATGGGGCACAATTATTTATTTTTCCACCTTTTTGGAATAAGTATCTATTATAATCATCAACATAGATTTTGAGAGAAGGAAAAAATAATAGAAATCACATACTTACTTTGCATGTAAATAGAAGAGTAAATGCATTGTACCCCCAGAACACAACCTGCATGGCTACGAGGTGTTTTGCAAAGCAGAAGATTTACGGAACCCTTTACAAGATGAGACATATTATAAGCAAGTACATGTTGTATCTCTTTCAGCCCAGAGCTGGCAGTATCACAGCCAGATAACTAAATCCATGCACAGTATAGAGCAGGGATGAGTTACCCTGTCCTTGTTTTGCTGATGGCTGGCAGCTGTACACTGACACAGGATACAGACATTTCTGAAACACTGTTTTAAATTATCACAGCCACACTGGTGATACTAAAAAGGCTTGGTGGGTTTGGGGCTGGAGCAAAATTTCATGACCTTTGCCCTGTTACTTTGTTGAAACCCCCTCTTAAAATGGAACAGCTACTGCCATAATTTTTCACCTAGAGAAATCTTAAGATGCTGGCAGCATCTTAAAAGTAATGCTTTTGGCAAAGTTTAGGGCTTAATATTTTTTTTTTTTAAGTCTTGCAGGAAAGGGTGACAGGATTTGTATTTATGCAGAAAAATAGGATGCCAGCCAGCCAAGCATGAACGAAAAGAAAGAAAGAGATTTTGAGGTAAAGAGTAAAAATATGCACTTAGTATTTTTTTTTTCTGGGTTTAGGATTCCAAAGAAAGGATGTTTCATTCTTTCCCTTCTATCAGCAAATGGTCTTTATCTCAACAGGGGCTCTAAGCCCTGATCTGTGCAAATTTTTATGTGAAAGCTTGAGTCTTTCAGTGCTGCCTGTGAGTGTGAAATTAGCAATATTGTGGAAACTTAATGAGGGATTGTTCATTTTATGAAACAAAAACACCACTTGCCTTCTCCTGAGTTCCTTTTCTTTCTAATCCATCTCACCTTCTCAACTGGTAAATGGCCTCATCCATTCTGCCACTTTTTGGCTCCTTTTAAACACCTGACCTTCTGCTTTCTAACACTTCAAGATAGGAGTAGTTACGAGACATTGTCAGCTCTACCTGTCTGAGACGAGATTTTACAAATGTATCATTTATTCTATACAGACCAACCTGGGATATCCAAGCAGGAGCTGTGTTACAGCTTCATATCTAAGACAAATTTAAGACCTTTATGGAGTCTTTAGCTTATCAAATACAGTGTGCCCACAAGAGTTAGAGAGAAGGAGACATGTGCCTCTGAATGCACATTGTTGTGAAGCCCCTGTGTGCTTCATACAAGCAAGCACCTCTATTTCCTAGGGATGAGGAGGCCTGACAACTTCCCAGTCCCCCAGAAAAACATTAACAGATTCCTTCCCCCAGATGGTTTTGAGCTGATCCCTTGCAGATTTGAGACATCAGCTGATAAATACCATCGCAAAGCAAGCCTGTCCCATATTTGCACACCTCTGTATCCCATACATTCCAGGCGAAAACATCCTTCCATTAAGAAAAAAAATGAGCTTCCAACTTTTGTAAATATTTAATTGTTGTGTGTAGCAGCTTCAGAAATAATATCAGCAGCTCATTGTAATCACATCATCTGCACAACTCTGATGAAATAGCACCATAAGGAGATACTGAACATAGGACTTCTGTAAGTGCAATATTTTATATTACTTATATAACTGAAGCATGTTTACACTGGCATTTGTGGGGTTTTTTTTAAACTTTTGAATATACTGATAACGATTACAATAAAGGAAAAAAGGAATGGGGAAAAAACAGTAAAACAAACATCGTGCTGTTCAGTATTTCTTGCAATGTGTTTTCAATCCTATATTGCTCTGAGGATGGGACTAGGTGACCTAATATGTTCTTTGAAGTTGTAACTTCTACAGTTCACTTTTGAGAAATTACTCTCCATTTTAATGATGGGCAAAACATGTTCAGATACTAAATTTAAACAAAAAAAAGAACTTCAGTGACTGTTGGGCCTGGCTGGAATCCATTGGCTGCAGCTGTGTAATGTCACTGGAAACCAAATTAGAGGCACATGATCTGACAAACAGTTACTTTGAGCAATTCTTTGTTTTATATTTCTACATCCTTGTAGATTAAACTTCCCCCCTGGAAATGTCTGGAGTTGTGTGCTGTCAAGGACTGTAGTCTATTCCCAGCATTTGTGGATGGTTTTGGCTGCAAATTGCAAACAGCTTTGTGAAGATTTCTGGGTTTCAGTGCTTGCCAAGAGTGTTTATTCCCTGGGGAGATTGGATCCTGGATCTGTACACTAGCAGGCAGTTGACATAATCTTTCCCCCCAGTATATTAGTACTGTGCTACATGATAACCTCTGCCACATCCCTACAGAGCTGACCTTTTGTTGCAGTGATGTCAGCTTTGTAATGAGTTACTAAATACAGCTTTCTGTAAAAGTAATTCAGCCTTATTCTTCCCAATGTTTGCGGTGAGCTGCTAATTGCAGAGAACTGGGGAGGAGTCCAGAGAGCAGGAAAAACAGATTACTTTAAAAATTAGTCTATTAAAACTCTTTATTGCTATGACCACCACAGCAGTCTAGTAAACAGAGAGACATTCATCTTTTATTTCACATGTTTCTTGCTGAATTTGAGAAAGGCTGTCCAGTTATTTTATCCATGCAGCAGACTGTACCATATTTTCTGTTTCACAAAAATTTCAGAATTTGCAAACCAGGGATGAGTATAATTGAATATGTTTTCCCTTACAGATTTAATCTTTAAAGATATTTAGCAAATATAATTTAATTTAATTCACAGGTTATTTTTTGTCTTTTCACCATTCTGTAACTCATTTTGAGTTTTTCCTGTTTCTCACAGCTTTTACAGGTTTCCTACATTAGACAGATCTTGAAAACAACACTGATTTTCTCTATGTTTTAGCTGTGAACTTTCCATCCGTTAGCATGAAGGATCTTCTGGTAGGCATAGCTTACATAGATTAAAAAGCCTTTTGGGAACCAACAAAACACCTAGAAATATGCAGGGGAAAGAAAGCCCCAGCCAGCCATGGCCTATGGTACCCCACTGCAGCAAGCCTTTTTTTAATTAAATACCATCTGACACACTGCCTTTAGGAATTGTTTATGAGTGAGTGTTTTATTTATGATTGTTGGCAAAGATCCATATTAAAATGTAGTGTAATGGCAGTGCCTCTTAACAATAAAAAGTCTTGAATTCAGCTCGTGCAGGCACCATGATGTGACACAGCAGGAATGCTTTTAATATTGAAGGACTGTTCTTGTTTTGCCTGTGTGTGTTGTATTGGAGAGGCACTTAGCTATTCAAGATGCTACCCTACTGTACACAGTGAATTTTAGAAAAGAATGGAAGTAATTGTTCAACTTGCTTTTCACATGGTTTCGTTTGTTTTCAGCATGTTATTCTACTTCACCAGTGCACTACACTGGTTGTATATTGTTCTTTGTTCCAGTGAGGGTTTGTAAAGCAGACTTCAGGAACTCTTTCCAAAACTGGACTGTATCAGACAGTATTACTTTTCCAGAAGCCACTCAGGATAACAGCGGCAGAGCAGAATTCAGGATCCTGTATGAAATGGTCAGTGCATTACAGGGCCTAGCTTATTTTTCAGGAGTTTATCCAAGTTCAGAGTCATATTAACAAAACATCACCCTTTGATTCTCCATTTTTCTTTTCAAGGAGGGCCAGGGTTTGCCCTGTTTGTCATTGCTGCAAAAGCCAAATACCAAGCAATTCTCACAGCAAAGTTGGGGAAAAAAGAGCATGTTTTAAACTTGCACAAGAGGAACGTATAGCAACCAAACCAAGTGTATGGCAAGAGCACAAACACCATCTCTCGTGATGTTCTCCTGGTCATGAAGGTTAACATTTGCCCTGATAAAGCACTCTTCCCATTTATCACAGACCTGCCGCACCAGAAAATAATCTCTGAAGCTGCAAAAAATTTCAAAAAAGCTTCCACAGATTTCATATTGCAGAAATTTTGTAGAAATTTGTAGAAATTTTACATTATGAATTTATATGATAGTTTTTGACTCTTCAGATAGCCTTACTGATTATTTTTTGTTGGTCTTTAATATTTTAATAGCATCTGAGAAAAGATAGGTCACCATAGCATGACCTGATAAAGAAAATAGATTTAAACTAACAGTGAAGTCTCACGGGAGACCCAGATTTATATCTGGGTTAATTTTTTTCCATTTTAGGCTTGGAAGAGGCATCAGGAGATAGTTCAGGTGGAGAGTGTTCTGGCTTTGTTGTAACAAATACTCCCATGCCAACTAATGTGGAAACCAAAACATTTTGTTATAAAGAACCAGGTCTATCATGTCCTCCTATGTGCCCTGTATATGAGAACAGGCACAACATGGGTAATGGGCACCATTAAACTACAGGTAGGAGACATTCACAATTTGACTCAGTATACCAAGAAGAAACTGTCTTGTGGAGAAGGACAAAGACTAAATTTTCTCACTGCCTAAAATTAGGAAAGATTTGTTTTTCTTGAGGAGAACAGGACCCCATGGAAGCCCTGCCCTTCAAGCACCATGAGTACAAGAGTAAACATAAGGTAGCTGCACACAGGGACTTTCTATCAAGCATTTAAGGAGGCTGCAGGAAACTACATTAAACAACTTAGAGAGGAGGAGGAGGAGGCTTTAGAGGAGAAATCAAATCTTTAAACACATAGATGTTATCACAGATCAGAAGCAACAAAAAGGATGATTAATAAAATGGATGGATTGGAAATAAGGTTCAGCTACAGGAGATGAGAAGTTGTGACCCCGGAATATAATGAGATTAATGATCCACTACAGTTATTTGGTATTTTTTTCCACAATGGCCAACTGATTAATTGCTCATGCAAAGTTTGAGGAAGACTATTTCCCTTGTAATTAGATAATGAAAGGAAAAATATCTGCAGCTGTGAAAGGCTTCTTGCATTAGCTGTGAATCTCTCCCATTCCTAAATGAAGGGCTGTATTCATTGACTTTGAGAGAAGGAAGGAGGTGATAAAGACATGACACTTGAAGTTTTTCCAGCTTTTGGCTTCACTGCTGTTTCAGAATGACTTCAGTATTTGCTGAGGCACTGTGACATATTTCACTGTAGTGGTACAGACTGTGCTATCCAAAGGTAATAGAAAGGCTTTTCTTTCAAACCAGTAAAAACTAAATCTTTTGTAGAAACTTTCTGTCTATGCCTGGTTTACCCAGGAAACCTAAGGAGTAAAGTGGTGTTTAAGTGGCGTGGTTTTGTTTATCAAGTGTTGCTACATGCACTAAGAAGTTTCTCTATACATGTAAAAAGCTTTCAATCCAGTTTCAAATAGTTAAACTGAAGCAATTCTTTGCAAACAGATGAAGTCAGCAAGGAATTGAAATATTAATTGATGTAGTAAAGGCGACACCTATTTAATTTTGGCTATAATGAATGCTTGATATTTTCAAGGTTTACTAGTTCTTTAAGTCTACATTTAATATATTATCATACTAATGAAGCACTTAGACATTATTAACAGTGGTATTTGTGTTTAATGTAATATACTCACTAACAGATCAGACAAACAAAGCAGTTACTCTCTCAAGAGGAGAAAATGCTAATACCATAACAGTTTTCAGTCCTTTTGACACATTTGCTTTGCCTCAAAGATTTCTGAAGCATGTTGTTCTCCTTTATTGAGTGCTGCTTCATTAATATTTCCTTGATTGGCCCCTCCATACTCAACTGGTTTGGATGGCAGCGAATCAATGCCATCTCCTCTGCATCTGCTTCTTGTTTAAAATGCTGAGGATATCTCCTGTGTCATGAACATGTCTGCAGCTTTTCAGTAATTCCCATGTGATTGCTGAGAGTATATTCTACTTGATTTTGGGAGAAAGGGGTGTTTAGTCTCCACCCCACTTTTCTAATGCCCATATATACACAAAAAGTCAGTCCTGCAGTATCTATTACAGATTATTTCACTAAGAAACGAGCCAAGTCTTTGTTTTGTAATTTAGCAGAACAAAGAATCCCTGAACTTGGCCCCCCAGCCATTTTAAGCAAACATCTGTGTGAAACCATTGACTCACTGCAATGTCTTTAAGAGGAAATCTCATAAAATATATTGTGGGCTCCTCACTGTCATCGCTACAGTTGTTATGTTGTGTCAAGTGTATACTGATCTTATGTAGATCATGGCTAGTGGATTTTATTATCTCAAAAATGCTTTCTCTGGAGAGTGGGAATGAAGTGCAAGAAAAAATGTGGATTGTCTTCTGCAAGTATACTCAGAGCAGGTGAACTTTTAACTACGAGCCCCTCAGTGGGACCTCCTGAGCAGGTCTGCAGGAGAAGGGGAAGTGGCAGCGTGGGGTGTGAGCACCACCGAGGAGGAGCAGTGCCTGGAAAGATGTGGATTGGCTCCAGCATACAGCATTGTCTGGACCTGGTGTGGAGAGGTGCTTCCACAGCTACCATAGGACTGAGGGGCTCTGTGCTGGTGCCCCTTTTTCTTGAAGCACTTTCTTCCTTTGTCTGTGCCCCTCTGCTCCCCCTCCCAACTCGCTCCTGCAGTCGGTGTCTTGCCTAACCCCAGCCCCCCATCACAGCTCCTCCTTGTGCTTCCAGACATTATTTCCCCTCAGCCTCCCCACACCACGGTGGCAGCAGCTCCCCAGCTCTGTCTCCTCACCTGGGACTTCATCAGCTACTTCCTGGCCCTGTGATGTGATGAGGCTCTAGCTCACCTGAAGGCAGGTCTCACCCCATGGCTACCCCCTACCTTCTTCT